AAACTGTCATTTGCAAAAAATTACTGTCAGAAAAAAAAAATAGTGAAAGCTAGGTAGAAGCTGAAGGGAAACTGAGGAGCTATGGAGGTACATGCACACTATTTATTTTTTCTGATCCTTAAACAAGCTTCGTTTAATCAAGATGATTACTCAGGATATGTTCAAAGGAGTGAAACGTGAAAAAAAGATTCTCATAATGTGAAGCTCCTGTGAGTTTTAAGGTCACAAAAAATGAGCTTTATATAACAAATTTTTGGGGAAAGGATGTGAAACTGGATGGGTTTGGTTTGAATGTCAAAGTCTGGTGTCCACTGATGTTGCAATTGCTTGTTTTGGAAGGAATACGCTTTTGCGTATACAGAGCACACTATTTTAAAGATTAGATCTCTCTTTAATAAGTAATATTTTGTTACTCCAGAGTTTTATTATATCAGACTGATCTTTAAATGAAGTTTTCTGTTATAAGAGTTTGAGCTAAACTCCTAAATAGCTCTGTTATGTCCAGTGACCTCATTCTTATCAGGTTTTACAGGTCAGTGGTGAATTAAGCAGCCAGCTTCCTGCTAATTAATCCTATTTAGTTAAAGAACTGTTAGACTGAATTATCTTATCTCTGTTAAAAGGAAGTTTTTACAGGATTGGCACCAGATTACTCTTATGAATTACAACCCTTTGCAACTTTGACATACAGTACATGAGCGGAAAGGTAGAAGAGCAAAAAAAGAGGTCAGCATGCAAATGCCATCTTGTTCTTCAGTGTTTCCCCATGACATGAATGATCAGAGGTATTACAGCACCCTGATGGTTTTGAAATTATATATCCCCCAAATCTTCCTGTCCTGCAAGGCATTGTGTTTTGGTATGCCAGAGATCAGGTGTTTTGTCAGAAACCCAAGTCTCCAGTTGGTGTGACTGTAGATGGGAGAGGCAGACAAAGCCAATGGTGTATTTGTGTACATGGTCTTTTATTTACTTCAGCACAGCAGAGACCTGCAGAACTGAAACCCACTGCGTGGCAGGAAGTCTCTATCAAAATGGCTGATACTCAGGTTGCACAACTTGCTATAATTGTGAGGCCCCAGAGAGACCTTTCCTATGTCAAGTTTTGAAATTAATGGATTATGTTAAATGAAATGGAAGGTAAGCCCTTGTGGAAAATACACGAGGGCATTCAATAAGTATAAACTAGGTAGCAGAAATGTATTTGGTGGTTCTAGTCCATGTTGGGTGAGCTATACATGCACTAATAGGTTTATAGGTGGTTTTCTTTTATTATTTTTCCCTTTTATTTTGCCTTTAACTGCTAACCATCATTATGCCTTTCAGTGCTTTATCGTTTGGTCTGGATGAAGTGGACAGTCTGTGACAGGCGGTTCACCTTGCCAACAGGCATATCCTGGGAGCAGGGCAGAGACGCTGAGAAAGAAGGAGTGTTTATAAATGACCTTATTTTTATTGATCTTTATGTATCACATGGAATTGGCGGAACTACGTCTATGAAAAATACACAATTAATAGGACAGCTGTTGGCATAGAGGAACAAGATTAGCTGTTCTGGGGACTGTTGAACAATGGATGTATTTTTGCCTGAGCTTCTTGAAATAACCCACACATGTGGATGCTATGTCACCCATCCAGCATGCTTTTCTGGATAGAGCTGCCAGTGCCCTGACACCAGTAATGTCTGGACACCTCAGCTACAGTACCTGGCTTTGAAAAAAGGTTGGGCAGATGTCATTCCAGGATGCTGGCTGGAACAGGCAGGGGCTGTAAAGATGTGTGTTCACTCTGCTCAGGGTGAGGAGGAACAGGGTTGGGGGAGGCCCATAAAAACTAAACAATTAGAAGTCAAATCATCTACACAGAAAGATTATGAAATCCTGTGTCCTCTCCTAAGAGCACTGATGTACTTTTGTCTGTTGGATACTAACAACAAACCCAACCACTTATAGTTTTTCCCTCTTCTTAGAATCATAATAACAAATCCTTGGTGGATATTTCAGGTGTAATTGCCAGATGTTTAGTGGTGACTGCTGCATTTGTATTATTCAAGGTGAGGAGGAAGTTTAGTTTTAACATTCTGGACATCTCAGAAGACAAAAGAAGATGTACTTAGCTAGCAAGAGGAAAAGAAGTGGCAATTATTAATAAAAAGGACTAATTGAGGACATCAGCTCCACTAAAAACTGTTTTTAACAGCTAAACATTCCTCATTTCCCCTCTAAAGGATCACTGCTGCTAAAGAGTTACCATGGGCTAAAAACGCATCAGGCCCAGGCCTTAGGTAGGTATAATTAAAAACAAAAGGTAATTAATAGCTCTTTACCTGGGTTGACAGAAGGCTGACAATAAGGTAGCAACTCTTTTAATGTTAAGAAAAGCTAGTGATATCTGGATGCAAAATGACACATTAAATTACATGTTTTGTGATAAATTGTTAATGTATTTTAAAGTGTCCAAATCTAGTTTAAAGAACCTCTTTTCAATAGCACAAGAGATATGTGAAGTAAATCTCCTGCACTAAATTTACATTGAAAGACTACAGAAAGTTCCATTTATGTAGGAATTAAAACACATACACCAGAAAAAGAGGTGAGGAATAAAAGAGTCTTGGGATATATGAACAGCTTTGGCTACTGGGTGACTGTTCTTTGTCTGGCCTGTGTCTAAGAGTTGCAAACGTTTTCCTCATTAGTGGGTACAGAAGGTTTATGAACTGCACTTAAATGTAGGGCATTTGCTCAGCAATAAAAAGGAAGGATCTAAAAATGCTTACATTCAAAAAATGCATTTTTGCAAAAATAAATAAACCATCAGGAAATCTGATTTTTGAAATTTCATCAGCATCTTTTCTGTGTGGCTGGAGTCACTCATTTCTGCCTTTGAGGACCATGTGTGTGCTATGCTGCATTATATGATACATCCTAACATGTGCATAATACAATTAATTTGAGCTAAGCTGAGCTAAGTATACCCAAGTACACTACTGGCTTTCATCACGTGCAGTTAAAGCACTGACCTATTCAGTTCTAAAATGAGTGTCTGGGTGTTTTTTCATGCTTCTGTATCCTAAGCTGATCTGTGAAAAGCGAAGGAGTCAAATCTGTACTGTGTGTCTCCCTACAACAGAGACTTACCAAACAGCCTATTCTGGAACTCAAGTACTTCCAAATGACACATAAACCTCTAAGCCTTAAACCAACAGACTGCACAGCTACTGGCATGGTTATTTTTAATTCTCTTCCTCATTTTGCACACCAGCAATAATCTCATGCCTGGCAAATTGGGATGATCTGGCTTAAAAGTTCAGCTGCAGCCATGTTAAAAAGACCAGAGGAAATGGATAGCTCATCTCTGGAAAATGCAGCCCTTTGGAGTAATGCCAGAACTCCTTAAAAACAAATTAGCTCAGGATTACGGTTTATTAGAGGGAAAATGGGGAAATCATTTTCTGGCTGTTTTTTGACCCACTACTTCCATACTGTCATTAGCAGACAGCAATTTTGTTCATCTCTAGTTTTGTGCATTTAGTAGGTGTGTTTTTTTAAAGGGCATGTGGTAATTCTGCTCCTTTAGTACTTGAGTACATAAACAATCAGAGCCAACTAACACTAAGTAGTCCTGGTACTTCCTTCCCAGTCCCCAGCACATTGCCCATGGAAGAGAAAACATAGGAGGAGGCAGACAGAGATGAAAGCTGGTGGAGCAATTGCAGCTCCCATCAAAGCAGAAATGGCCTTGGGATTTTCTTCAGTTAGGTCTGGGTTTCCTCTGTTCCTGGTGACCACCTCTTTGATCAGCCCACTCTTCTGAGCCTCAGGGCTTTTTCCTCTGTCTGTCTGCTCATCTGCCCTGCTGCCTTGCTTTGGGCTTCCTGTTTGACTTGCCATGAGGTCAATAGCTATGCAATGTGGGATGCCTATGCCCCTGCCTCTTCACAGGGCTGGCACGGCATTACATAGGGCTTGTTGGGTCTCCGTGCACATCCAGGGCTCTGTGCACATCCAGAGCAACGTGCAATTTAGGTGAGGAAGGCAATGAGTTATGAAAAGTGATTAATAGGAACACTTTGCCTGAAGGGGATCAGTTGCTTTTAAGATGTTATGAGTTTACCTACAGAGATGATGTAGTCTAAGACAGATGCTGGAAGGGCACATGTAATCCCAACATTTATTGGGCATCTGCTGCTTAACAGTAATTAGGATGCAAATGTTCAAAGCAACAAAGTACTGTAAATTATGCAGCAGGCACTTAATGTCGCCGAAAGACCGAAATGTATCGCCGGCCTCAAGTGGGGACACAGCGTGATGTAATCAGAAAAAAAGGGACAATGTACCTCTCCTTCCTTGCTGTGAAACACCATGTTGGATGGCTTACAAAGCAATACTTAGGGCAGGAACTTCTTTTTCATAAGAAGTTGCCTCATCAGTGGGCTGCCCAGAGACACAAGGCTCCTACCAAAACAGTGTACTGGGATTGTTGGGAAGAGATTGATGGGGAATCACCCCTCTTGCATTGGAATCAACCCTCTTCTGAGCACCACCTCAAGAAATAACCCAGGGTTGCTTGTGGGACCCTCTATGTGAAAGCACAGATTGCCTCTTCATAAAATTCCATGTATCTAGAGCCAAAATCCTTCCCCTATTATTCTGGTAGGGATAATAGCAACATTTGGCATTCTTTCTCTGAAGCTCTGCTCTAGCACAACAGGTCTCCAGGGCAAAGCAATATTTGGAATGCAATGGCAAGCGAAACAAATGTTATGCTGATAAATAAGAACCTCTGGGGGTTAATTATGCAAATTTCCTCAGTGAAGGAACAAGAAATAGATTAATAATATTAGCATGCCATTCACTATGTTTTCATTTACCAGGTCACCTCACAGGACTGTAACACACCACAGCTGTTTCAGATGCACAGTGGTACAACAACAAGAAATCCCTTAATGTCAGGGAAAGACTTGAGAAGGAGTCTGGGCTGCGAAGTAGCTGAGGCTGTTGCTTGGGATAAGATTAGGTTTGGATATGAGTAGGAGGAAAGCTCAGGGCTCTGTTTCAAAAGGACAAAATTTCACAAACTGTTCTCTGCATTTTGGCTCAGATAAGCTGTTTTAGAAGATGACAAGGAACATTTAAACATCAGAGATGGAAAGAAAGGTTCCATTCCCAGCTCGGCTCCTTTCTGCAATCCCAATGGTGGGTTGAGGTTACATGCTGTGATGCCTCCTCCTTATTCCTTAGCAGAGCCCACTTGAAAGTTTGCATGCCCAAGGAGCCTGTCCAGAAACAAGTCAGACCTAAATGGACCATGGAGTGCTGTGGCTAAGAGAGTTTTTGCACTTGGACTTCTAGACTCTACCCTTTTATCCTTGTTAGGGCTTCACAGTAAAAAAGGAACAGAAATGTGACAGTTGCCCTTATTTCAGTGTTAATGTTATTCATGCCTTACTATTTTTATCTATCCACAAAGCCAGCTTACGGTTCAGAGCTCAGCTGGGCTACTGCTGAGCTCAGCAGGACTGAGGAGCTGAAGCCGCTGCTCTGTAGAAGAGCCTGCTTCTGCATCTTGAGCAGTGGGGCAACAGCTGAGCTACAAACTCAGCAGGAGCTGAGAGCTGAAGCTGGTCTGGTCCTTTCCCAGTCAGGAAAAGGCTCCCAGCTCCTAGGTCTTACCGATTTCTGAGATCTTCAAAACCCATGCCTCAGTGGCATAGGGCAGTGAAGATTGCTGTGCTCTGACAACTGCTCCTCAGGAAAGCAACAACTCTCCTGCCTGCACAGCAGGAGTTTGTATCCCGCTCTGAGCTAAAACGGGGTTGCAGCTGCTGCCGTGCAGCTGCCCATCCCTCCCAGCAGTAAATAGTGCTGGCGATGCTCCGGTGATGCTCAGGAAAGGCTGGAGCCCCAGGGTTCCTGGCTTGCGTGGCACAAAGACTGGTGGTAACTTGCAGCTATGAGAGGCAGCTCATTCCATTTGAGACCCTGCAGGATCTCAGCAAGAGAACTGGCAGCACAGATTGGAGTCTTCTCCTCATCAGAGGTGGCTCTCTACCCCCCTGGTGATGTGGAGGCAGGGCTTACTGCCATATAACAACCTGCGTAAGATACTGATCTATATAATTTTCACATTTCTGGAGGAAAAAGCTTGCATGGGGAAAAACACATTTTATTTTTTTTTCTTTCCTCTATGACATATTCCCCTTTCTAATTTGGAAAAAAAAAGTATTGTTTGGGGGTTTTTTGTTTGTTTGTTTTTGTTTTCTTTTCTTTTTTTTTTTTTTCAAATACCCTGCTTTTGGCGTGGAATGTACTTGATAAATTGCCTAGTTCACTTTTTTTCATATTCTGACTAAACGCGCTTCTCTAACACTATTTTGCTCTTTGAACCTAGCATACCAAAGCGATGTATGACGTGGAGGAGCAGGGTTTCCCATGAATGAAAAGTAGATCTATGAAAGAAAAAAGGAGTGTTGTAGATGGATGCTTTGGCAAAGCACACCACTGTATTCTTGTTTGTGACAGCAGCATGATTCCAAGCTGAGTTCTTGCTCCAGCTGCCATCGTTGGCATGTAGAGAGCTGGAAATCATCTGTGATGGGGAAAGAAGAAGGGATTAAGTGTTTTTTTAAAAAATGAAGGGACAACATTGCATTTTTTGGGTAACAGTTTTGATTCTTTGTCTTTAAGTGAAAGACCCATCCATAAAACTCTAGATAACAAAAATCTGCTGTAGTATGGGTAATGGTTATGTATTTGCTCTAAACAAACATATTTTGCCTCCCTGGGAACAGTTAGAGATAGATAACCTTCTCTAACAGCAGCCTGCCATCTTCAGTAGTCTTGAGTGAGACGCAAAGTTGTGTGAGATGCCAGCTAAGGAATTCTTATTGTGCCTCTACGCAAATGTTTGTCAGTATTACTTCAACGGGTAGTTTTAAACAGGAGGAGCACCAAATCTGTATATCTCATTTTTTTTTTTAGTTGCTAAAAATTGCACTCCGGGAATATACATGTGATTTCAGTGTACAGCAAATTCAACACAAACACTCCTGTTCTGTGTAAATATGCCCTTTGACTAGGAACATAATGCACATTTTTAACAGTGAGATTAATTGGATAATGAAACACATTTTCAATAGTAAACCACTTAATTTCAAGCATTTATAGGCTTTAATCAAGACTGAAAGATGCCCTGACTCCATCAGGAGTCACAGTCCTGATAGTGAAAGTACTTGGTAAAACTAAATTATGGCTTTGACGCTGTGAAACCAATTCTGTTTGAATGAACAGTAACCTGATTTCTGCTAGTTCATGTTGTATTTTCACTCTGCAGTTTGCTGTTCCAAAAGCAAGACAGCTTGTTTAAATCTGAAATTATGACTTTCTCCATCTCTTCTGAATAAAAGGCAGAATGCTGAAATCCACTGGATTATTACCATGTGAGCTTAATGCATTGTAAGGTAAACAAAACATGAGAAGTAAAATCAGCATAAAATCCTATCAGTCACAAGAAACTAGGATTGCATGAATGCATGAGACATGAAATATTGGTGGGGTGTCTTTCTTATGGGGCTAGGAAGACAGAAGCTTTAAACTCTCCTACATAACAATGAAAAAACATTTTAACAAAAAAAAAAAAAGAAAGAAAAATGAAATCTTATGCTTGGCTGCCATATGACTAGGAATACATAGTATAGTTCATTTTTATCACACTTAGATCCCAAAGATTAATATTGGCAAAATCACAACAGTATCTGAGTGTAAAACATAACTGAAACTAAGAGCATGACTATTTTTATGCAAGTAAACTAGAGAAAAAGGGTTTGCCAGGAGCACACCATCTTACGTTTTGCAGCGTAGGTGGAATGGCCGCTGGCCTGGCATGGAGAAGGTGAGAAGCTTGTCATCTCCTGTGTCTGACTACAGCTCCAGCTCTAAAAATCCTACTCAGGAGCAGATGTTGATGATTTTGTCTAATGTAAAATACTGTTATGTACTGGTGTATTTAGGCTATGAACTACCTAGATGAGGCAGGAACAGGTCCTTTGATGAACCTTTTGGTGCCCTGATCTCTTGACTTAGGCAGTGGTTGTTGCAGCAATGCACATGCTGAATACTACTATTTCATTTAACACACACATTCTCAGCAGAATTGCAGAAAAGCTACTGGCAGGCTCATCAGAAAATTCTGATAATTTGGCCTTCTTCAAACTTCACCTTTTCAAAACATCACAGTATTTAGACCAAACATTGACATTTTTCCCAGGATGAGTAAAACATCTCTTCAGTAAAATCTGGCAGAAGAAAAATAAAACTCAGAAAACAGTAGTACTTTGAAAGCACAAAGATTTATTTTATTTATCTTTGAAATACCATTTTCTAGTAACTCTGATTTTTATTTTATTCAAAGAACCTTAGTGTAGACTACTTCAGCAGCCAATGTTAATTCCAGTAATAATTCCTAGTATTGATTATTCCATCACAAAATGTCAAACACGGAAATAAATTTTGGAAATAAACCAGTGTAAACTATAGAATATCAAGGTATCAGAAGACTACTTTGCATGCATGCAAAAGAAAGACAAGGCCCTTGGAAAATAAATAAATAAATAAATCAGACTTGAGTACTGTAGTGAGAAAAAAAAAAATAAAGAAACCCAAAACAAAACCAATAAACAAAACCAGCTTTTGAGTTCTACTTCCACACCCATGCTCAAACTTTGCCTGGACTGGTTCTGAGGAAATATATGAATAAAAAAAAATTTGGGAAGTATTACAAGTGTGTCATGGTATAGACAAGGTCTAACAGTTAATTTTGAAGGTACTTTGTTCTGTGCTATTGTCAATAACAGTAAATTTTGGTACTCAAAGTCATTTCTAGCAAACTTTCATTAAGCTAATTTTTGGAATGTGTATGTGTGGTGCAAGGTTCACCCTGGGCTGGGCTCTGTTTGGATCTGATAACTTTGAGGTAATTCCCAGCATTTCCCATCCAAGTCAAGTTCTCTGCACTTTTGTCCTGTTGACTGATGCCTATTTGAAAACTCCCCACTCTCTGGTCTGGGGTAGCAACCAGCAGAGAAGAGGCATCCAACTGTACTGCATGGGGAGCGGGATGGAGCTGGCAGCTGCCCAGAGCATCTGCCAGCAGCTGCACATGAGGTGATGAGAAGGGAGGGAAAGGGTACAACAGCCAGAACTCTCCACAAAGTTGTATCTGGAGCTGAGTTGATACATTTTCATACTGTCTGGGTGGAGAACAGCTATGAATATTCTTCCCTCATATAGCTGCTGTTTCCAGCGAGATAATTGTGTAGCAACACAGTGAATAACATAAAGAAGTTTTCCGGCGATTGCTGCCCAGCAATGTCTTTCCATCTCTAGCAAGCAGAGAACAAAAAATTAGGTCAAGATCTCATTTTTAATGTTTTAGTTGCTGTTGGCCTCTGTATGAGATAGACCACGCCAGCCATGCTAAGGCACTATTGAGCAGAGACAGAGAGAACAGCTGTGCCAGGCCTGGGTGGGAAGCTGCAGGGCTGCCGTATCCCTATGCAACTGCCAGTGCTCCCACTGCAGCCAGGGCTGCTGAGGGGCCCCAGAGCTCCCCTTGCACAGCCTGTTCATCCACACTTGATACACTGTGTATCCAGCCACCTAAAAATTATGGCCCTCGATGTCCATCTTGCTGCAGACTATTGCTTTTTTATTATATTGAACATCTATATGCATTTTTAACATTGTCAAGAGATAGAGAAAACCATCATGACCTGCCATTTGTCTCCACTGTTAATCACTGTCCTTAATAGAAGGATTAGAAATAAATAAAAGAAAGGAGGAATTATATTACTAAACTTTTCATGACACAATTATGATAATTTTTTTTCCCAAACTTCTGACCAGTGTATTTTGGACTTCCTAGACTTCCTTGTTTCTGCCAAGTCAATACAAGACAGAAGGCTGCTGCTTTTAATACCTAGTGACGATAGCAATATTGAGGCTTGTTATGTTTTTAACAAAACCAAACACCTCTGGGTGAGTCAACACTAGTTTTTGGACTGAAATAGTGTTGCTGCTCAGAAGTGAATCCCCTGACTGTCTGTAGGTAACGCATGTTGGCCGTGTCGGCAGAGCAGCTGTGTCACATGAACTCAATTCCTCTTGGAAAAAACTAAACTGGAAGTTTTGCTCCTGCTGCACAGCAAATGGGCACCCATTCCTAGAATAGGGACAGCCGAAGAGTCACAGTTTCTCATTCTTTTTTTGTCCAAAGAGAACATGTTCCTGTTTTAGGCACCATGTCTTGGGCAGAAGGGAGACAGAATGATGTTACAGTCACAGAACATGTCAGTCATAAGTCAGTCAATAAAATACTTAAATTCTTAAATTCAGCAGAACTCACCTGGAGAATGCGATCTCTGCTACATGGCCAAGCTGAATTAACATCTCACACTGAGGACTTTATTAGCAAATATACACAAATGCATATACAAGAAACACATGTATTGCTATTAAATTTCATTTGTTCTAGAGCAGGACTGAGAGTATGGGTTAAATGAAGGGACTAAGTGAAAAATATTGTGCAGACATACAGAAAGACATGATTCACATCACATATCTTGGGTTTCTACTAATTGCTTGGGCAGTACAAACAACTTGTGTGAGTAACAGAATCAAAATTCTGCTAAAGAATTACTGTTCACATTGACAATTTTGACCCTGCCACCTTTTCCTTCCAAAAGTAAGTTTGTCATTAAAGAGACAGAGCATGTTCATGAGCTGAATGTATTCTTTTATTAGCAGCAGCACTACCACTCATAATTAGAATAATTGTAATTGATGTAAATCATGCAAAGATTTCTGAATTTCTTGTAAGCTAATACACCCTAATTCAATTTCTTGCAAAATTCTTAATGATTTCTACTGAATTAAAGTGACCTGGGCTTTCATATTTGAGTATATATTTCCCTTATATTTAGACAGCTATTAAAAAAAACAACACAACACACCCTTTACCTAGTGTCCATTAATTAGGGCAAGAGAAGTGGAAAAAAAATGCACAACAATGCAAATAGTTGTTAATCTATATAAAGAGCACAATGATTAATATCCCACATACCTTTCTGAACTGAAAAGGTGTAAATGCAGTGATTCTGACTGGAAACGATTTCCTCTCTTCTTTCAAGTGAGTAGGAGGTGATTTGCAGGTGCTTACACTGAAAAAGGGAAGGTGAGGTGAGGGCAGGGTTTGGCTGGCCTTGCTCCTTTGGCAAAGCTCAGCAGTGCAAAGGTCTTCCTTCTGAGATATATTTGCCTTGTCTTTAGCAAATCTGTATTCCCCAGGATGAACTGCTGCCCATTTTTCTTTTTAAGTGGGCAAGAATTAGCAACTTGAGAGAGGTTAAAACCCACACTTCATGGGGAAATGAAACAAGGTCTGTATAAAATAACATTAAATCCTACTGACCAGTGTAAACTCACTGATACATTCTGCGGTATTTGAAATATTGCTAAAATTTCATTGCAACATGCTGACAAACACAAACGAAATGAACCGTTCACTACTCTCAACCAGGAGGCAGTCTCATCTTCCTGGATACGTCCTGTCTTAATATGGGATATGCCTCCAGGTCTGATCTTTGCCCTTACTCTAGGAATCCGTAATCTGGTTGATTACTGATAGTGATAATTTGCTTATAAATAAGGCCGTAGTTATTCCTTCTGAAAGTTTAAATCGTGTGCCCTAGTGAACTGTGGTTCACCTGAGTGATGCCAGTCTGCAAATGGGGTTGTGCTTTAACCTCTCTGAGCTTCCTAACTATGCACTGAGGGCAGTGCATAGATGCCTCAGTGCGGCAGGCAGGCAGCTCCCCCCTCCCACTCCCCTGTGGGAACCCCATAAGCCCCTGGCCTCAGCTATGACCCGGCTGGGTCTGGGGAGACTCGGGCATTTCTCTGCGCTGCAGGGCGATGGGCATTGCTTGGTACCCTCCTCTTGGAATGCACTGTCAGTTGCACTCAAGCAGAGAGTGGAGGCTCTCTGTGCCCAGCAGCAATAGCCAGTGGCCCAGGCTCCCTTGCCAGCAGGTCCCTTAGTCTGAATATTTATTTAAAATAAAGGAATTAGTTAGCAAACCCCATTCAGTGTGCCAGGGGACGCACGACACTCTACTTCTGCTGTCAAGCTC